AAAAAAAAAAAAAAAAAAAAAAAAACAGAGAGGGACGTCAGCATTTAGTACCGACTCTCATTAGCGTATTTTATAATATGCATGTTTAACCCTTCGCCAATACTAGTGTATTCCGGATTCACGTATCTGGTACCGGGTCCTTTGTTATGTTTATTATTATGCTACCTGGTGTTCCGGTTTTTGTTTAAGTGTTTAGTTCATATGTGCTTGTGTTTAGCTGTGCCTTACTGGCGCTTGTAGTATTCATATGTCACAAGCACTGTCCAACATGTTCGTCATCTCGACTGAGATAACAATTTTGTCCGGGTTTAACTGATTTAGTCTATTAATTCACTAGTTCTTGACAAAACAGCAAGACACACAATTGCTTGCGGAAATTCTACAAGGATACAAAATGCTAACCTACACAAATCACGGTCGCTTCGATTAGCAATCAGATCAACATCATCTAAAATCTTGAATCAAACAAAAACAAAACATGGTTTTTTTACTGACGGTGTGTATAATTGTGTTCTTGCGTGATCGATTGGCTTTCAAATTTCCAATGGACAAATACATTTTTATTTTCACTAGGCAATATCTCAAAGTCAGTTCTTACCTCATTCGCAACAGTTGCCTCTACATTCTGTAGTAGATTATTTGCTTCATCAACATCTATTCCTTCAGTAGTAAAAAGATTACTAAAAAACTTAACTTGTTCCTTAAGTATATCGTTTATATTATTTTTATAGCTTCCGTCTTCACATTTAATTGAGACCTACTGTTTGTTCAATGCTCTACATTTTCAAGACCTAGAAAATAACGTTCGTGTATTTTCATCACTACAGACTTGAAAATACGAAGTACACTCGTATACACGTTTTGTTATGACGTAACAACAAGTATTACTACCAACTGCTCTTTTCTAGTGTTCAGCAAGTTCAGTGTATATCTTATTAGAATTATACCGCTTAGTTCACAGCCTTATGGGGAACATGTACTAGCAAGAACGTACAGCAGAAGATCCTAATCTTAAAAGAAAGCACAAGTTTTGATGGAGCTCGGAGGGACGTATTTTTCCATATATATAGTTTTGGATATTTCATGTTTGCGAGCCTCTGGCGAGCCAATCTGAAAAATCCAAAACGAGCATCATCAATCTAATATGAAGAAAAACGAATGACAGATTCTTTTTATCATATTATACAAAGTCAACTGTATAATTGTGATATAAAACGAATAGTCTGCACTTGGCCGCCTCTGAAACGATGAAAATTGCGTCCAGTTTTTAATGACGTGACGTCACATTATTAGTGCCTATTCGATTGGGACTTCATTTTCGGAGTGTTATTACACACGTTACATAAACATAATTTATGTGATGGCTTTATGACACTACATCACACGATATTCATATGATAAATATATGTATATACTCCATCTTGGCGCTCTTTATGCTATGGTCACGTGGATTTTTGTTAACTATGTATGCATAACATATCTATAAATAGATTTTGTAGGGTGGGTTTGGAAGATAGGTAAATGTGTGGAATACATACATTCTTATATTGCTTAAGTGTAAAAGTTAAATATAGTATTCATATGATTATATTTATTGATATTTTTTCTTCTATATTTTATGGTTGGAAGAGTGGTACATTGTACTACTTCGTCAGACGTGTGTCAATTTAGTTAAAAAAGAAATCAAGAAAATACATTTAAATAAGTTGAAGGTCGAATGGACGGAATTCTTATTTTTATCTATTTCTTTTTATTATTGTCAACAGGAGCTGGAACAAGCAGGGACCCATGCGCAGACACATATCCGGGTACTCAAGCTTTCTCGGAACCGGAAACTGATAACATCCGGAAGTCTATATGGAGTGTACGTGATCGAGCCGTTGTTTTCCTGTCGTTCCACGCTTATTCTCAACTCATGCTAACACCGTATGGCTACACCTCCTCCAAACCTTCCGACTACCCGGAGATGGTAAGTAGTAATGGATGTACTCCATAGAACATACAGCTATTTTATCAGGAGATCCTAGGAAATAAATCCTTCTATACATATTTTCGACAAACCTCAAGCCACATATAACACGTTCCTATTTAAGCAATAAACTGCATAGATGTGGCAGACATACAGGTACAAGTGCCACATGTGTCGCTGACAAACTGAATGGTTCGCGTAACGCACCATGATAATTGTACACTGAAAATAGCAGTGGAAGGATCCCTATGATGACTTTCTCTCATAAAGAACATCATTATTATAAGGGTATATAAGAGTATTGCCACACGCAATGAAAACATAACAAGTTGTTCCTGATTCCTATAAACCGGAGTTATAATCAGGAGTTGGTCCTGATTCCTATAAACCGGTGTTACAATCAGGAGTTGGTCCTGATTCCTATAAACCGTAGTTATAATCAGGAGTTGGTCCTGATTCCTATAAACCGGAGTTACAATCAAGAGTTGGTCCTGATTCCTATAAACCGGAGTTACAATCAGGAGTTGGTCCTGATTCCTATAAACCGGAGTAATAATCAGGAGTTGTTCCTGATTCCTATAAACCGGAGTTATAATCAGGAGTTGTTCCTGATTCCTATAAACCGGAGTTATAATCAGGAGTTGTTCCTGATTCCTATAAACCGGAGTTATAATCAGGAGTTGTTCCTGATTCCTATAAACCGGAGTTATAATCAGGAGTTGTTCCTGATTCCTATAAACCGGAGTTATATTCAGGAGTTGTTCCTGATTCCTATTAACCGGAGTTACAATCAGGAGTTGTTCCTGATTCCTATAAACCGGAGTTATAATCAGGAGTTGGTCCTGATTCCTATAAACCGGAGTTACAATCAGGAGTTGGTCTTATACGAAGTTTTTGTAACTCAGATTCCATATAACCGCGAGTTTCTTCAATAATGAATTCGTGTAATCCAGAGATCCATTTGACAAGTATCCGAAAATAACAGCCAAGTTACCGCCTTCGGCACACATTATCATACGGAAACAATTTCAGTTGCGGCATAACATTATAGTCTCCATATTTTGCCTATTTGATGTATTATAAATAACTTACTTAAAGGTAATTCTCGGATTGTTATACAATTATGTGGATCATTCTTAATGTTGTCTATATCAAGTAATTCAAAGCCAACGAGAAATGTATTTGAATTTCCGGTTGCAGTTGCGAATTGCGGATGCCAGCATGTCTGCCTTGAGGGAGGTCCACGGAAATACTTTTAGAGTTGGAACACCACCCGATATCCTGTGTAAGTAGGCCGAAATCGAGTCAAAAGGACGATAATTCTAACTGTATATTTCAAAATGATCGTTCTCAACAATAGTTTGTGTAAAGCGAAATTGATATCAAAATGCCAGTTTGACTTCGAGAGTTGTCTCCCTTCAAACTCGATTATTTTCGTTGTTTCTTTCTCACAACAATCTAAGAGATATATGTATCAATGTGTACCTGTCATATACTGTACAGTTCTTCATTCTTCGCAGTCAAACTGTAGCAAGTTTGTCCGGAATTAAATGGCGACGTTGACTTTGGAGTTTGCTTTATGAATGCAATCATATTCAAAATAGAAACTCACCGCAACATAAGCGTAATACAGTACGTCTTCTATAAGTATAGGGAAGTTAACAACAGACGTTTACATGTTTGTTATTTTGAAATGCTTTTTTAAATGAGATGCATGTCACGAGAGATTGTCATATATAATTTCCGGTTCACGTGTTTTAGACGCGGCCTCTGGCGGGACTTATGACTGGGCCAAGTTGAAGGCCGGTGTGAAGTACTCGTACACTTACGAACTTCGTCCTGCCGAGGCGGCGTGGAACCAGTCCGGGTTTATTGTAGGCGAGGACCAGATAGTTCCCAGTGGGGAAGAGGTCTGGGCGTCCCTAGTTACCATCGCTAAGGAGGTGCAGCTGTAACCAGGCAACCTGTTTATAATGACAGGGGCCACCCTGGTAGACTACAAGCGTCGCTCAGCTCAGCATTTGATTAATGATAAAAGCGTGTAGGAGCGATGTATAAATCTATAACAAGGAGTACTCTAATAACAACGAAAAACCAATCGTTCCAATCCAATTTTATTATTTGATTTTTTTTAATGAAATAATCATACAAATTAACCAATCATTTTGAAATTAAAAGAAAACTGGCCTATGTGTTAACACAACAATCGGTTATCTTCGTAACGTAGAGCTTGTATTTTTTCAGTCTTTTAATTATGTAAACGAATGACTGAATTAGAATAATTTTAACTGAAACTGTTGCGTTTTACAACGCATGTTTCGACGCTGAACTGCTTGCAAGATTTACCAGTAAAACGTACATTGAATTGAACTACAGATTTTAGTTCACGTGTATAGTTAGCTCCACTGTAGTAATGATTTCGGATATAATATATCAAATAATAATTTGATTCTTTATAGGACAGTTGCAACACTTAACCTTGTAAAGCTTATTCCATGTAATAAAAACTATTTAAAACAACATCTTTCTATCTTTTTGTCCGTTTGTTATGTTGTCACTTTGCCTCATTCCTGGAAGTTTAGTTCACAGGAATTTTAATTTTGTAACCATTTTTATCCTGGCAACAATGTACACATAAAACAGTTAACCTTCTGTGAACTGAAAAAAGTATTTTGAAAATATGACATTTATGAACGTTATACATCTTGGTTCAAGTTTCTTAATATACGTATATACTTATTTTGACAAGTACCTTAATATACGTATATACTTATTTAGACAAGTACCTTGATATACGAATACACTTATTTAGACAAGTACCTTAATATACGTATACACTTATTTAGACAAGTACCTTAATATACGTATATACTTATTTAGAAAAGTACCTTAATATACGTATATACTTATTTAGACAAGTACCGTAATATACGTATATACTTATTTAGACAAGTACCTTAATATACGTATATACAAAATGTACTTATTTAGACAAGTACCTTAATATACGTATATACTTATTTAGACAAGTACCTTAATATACGTATACACATATTTAGACAAGTACCTTAATATACGTATATACTTATTTAGACAAGTACCTTGATATACGAATACACTTATTTAGACAAGTACCTTAATATACGTATACACTTATTTAGACAAGTACCTTAATATACGTATATACTTATTTAGAAAAGTACCTTAATATACGTATATACTTATTTAGACAAGTACCTTAATATACGTATATACTTATTTAGACAAGTACCTTAATATATGTATATACTTATTTAGACAAGTACCTTAATATACGATACACTTATTTAGACAAGTACCTTAATATACGTATACACTTATTTAGACAAGTATCTTAAGAGAACATAAAGGAATGGAGATAACACCAATTACATGTATATATTGTCAGGAAGCACAAAGTGTTAATTACAAATCATCTATTACATGTGTTAAGTAGCATATCATCTTAGTTATTAAGGATCCCTGATCCAGTGTGATGTACCTTTTCGTATGTGCAGTTACCGCCCCTTAATTTTGTTTTCGATAAAAGTTGCACATTAGGATAAGGATATTTCCGTTGACCAAGTAGCTCAGGCGGTAAGGGGGATAGTACAACAGTAGACATCCAGGGGTCGACTCCGGTCTACCCCAGTTCATTATTGTCACATTCATAACAGTGCTGTTGAATTCATTTTTTCATTTTCATTTTATTATTATTTCATAAAAGTCCCGCGAGGTAAATTTTCTTTTCAGAAATAATTCATCGAAACTAAAGTCGGAAAATAGTTTTCTTCATTTTGGGTAGTAGTACACGGATCGTTAAAAAACACAGTAACAATGTGTTAGGTAACATACAACCTTAACAATAAACCAAACTAGAGGTTTGGGTTCAACACACAGTTATCTCCCGTGAGTCATAGTGTGACAACCATGAACGGGAAGACAGGGCTAGGCTCGCAGTAAACACATTATCATTAATTGATGCGTTGGTAGGAATTGAATTAATCTTTCCCCTATCTCCGATTAAACATATTTATTATACTCATAAGAATGTGTAAGTTCAAAATAAATTTCATCATATACGAATATAAAAGAAAAATAAGTCTTATCAATGTACAAATATATTAATTCAAAAATCATTAATTATACAATTTTTATCAATTTCAAAGACAAATTTAAATACTATTTCTGTGGTTTGATTGACATACTATTTATAGATATGTATAGCTTTCATAAGGTATAATGTTATAATTTAATGTCTATGAATTCGAAATTAGCAAAAAACCACTTTAATTATTTTGGTGAATTGATGTATATAATAGATCGTTTTCGAGATACTTTTTTCTCACCGGATTCCACCGGGTTTTAGATATGCGTTTCACGTGATGGGGGACATACACACTTCCGGTAAACAGCGATAACCTGACAGCATTTGAAACAAAAATACTGCGTATCAGACGATAGGGCACTAGTCTGTAGATATTTCAGCCATTTTCGACAAAATTACCAATCTTACACTTCGATGAAATTAGCTTACTAGGTTTGCCTTTATACCGGAAGTATACACCTTTATGTACTACGTGATCACCAAATCACGTGACTTAAGTTTCAGAAACTGGCATCCCGTAAACGACGTATTAAGGCAAGCTTGTCTGGATAGGGTACTACTGTCAACTTTTGCCTTATCCGTATGTGAATTTATATTTGTCGATATACGTTTGAATCAAAATCGAAGTCAAATGTTTATACATATATATATATATAGTTTTAGGATTTCTTCCATCAAAACACATTTTGTGATGTCCCTAATGGAAGTCATCGCCTTTGGTAAACAATTCGTGGGTAATATTGTTTAATCAACATCCGGTTCCGGTTTGAGAACTTAGATGGTGTCGATGGGTTTTGACCTCGGTTTCCGGTAACGTCGAATAGCTACAAAAATAGCGATCATTGAAATGCCTACCGCGCTTACAATTACTGCTATAAATAGATGGTCATCTACACTTATGTACTGCGCATGACCAGATGTTTCCGTGTCCTCTAGGTTTCTTACGTCACGTCTCGAGCGCCCTGAAAAAAAAAAAAACACCGTCAGGTCATATAAAACCTGATGAAAGTTATAGATGTACAACAAAGGGAGGTAACTGATACTTCTTTCCTCTAAAAAAAGTGCCGTTTGTGTTCCAATTGACTTCTTGTCCAGTACCGGGAGCATCTTAAGATATTTTCAACATATCGGAGTCTAACATCTGATATATGCTTTAAACAAAATTAATTGTTAAAATTCGACAAGAAATGTCATATTATTCATAACAATTAGGGCAGTATGATTCTAATAAGCTTCTTACTGCCATTTCCTTTTGAATTACAATGCGGTCAACACCAGGGTCATGTTCAGATAACGCAAACAAAAAATCTGGTTTCAATGCATATATGCACATGTATCATACATATATACACATGTATCATACATACATACACATGTATCATACATACATACACATGTATTATACATATATACACATATATCATACATATATACACATGTATCATACATATATACACATGTATCATACATACATACACATGTATTATACATATATACACATATATCATACATATATACACATGTATCATACATATATACACATGTATCATACATACATACACATGTATTATACATATATACACATATATCATACATATATACACATGTATCATACATATATACACATGTATCATACATACATACACATGTATTATACATATATACACATATATCATACATATATACACATGTATCATACATATATACACATGTATCATACATACATACACATGTATTATACATATATACACATATATCATACATATATACACATGTATCATACATATATACACATGTATCATACATACATACACATGTATTATACATATATACACATATATCATACATATATACACATGTATCATACATATATACACATGTATCATACATATATACACATGTTTTATACATATATACACATGTGTCATACATATATACACATGTGTCATACATATATACACATGTATTATACATATATACACATTATTATACATTTATACACATGTATTATACATATATACACATATATTCTACATATATACACATATATTATACATATATACACATATATTATACATATATACACATGTATAATACATATATACACATATATTATACATATATACAAATGTATAATACATATATACACATGTATTATACATATATACACATGTATAATACATATATACACATGTATTCTACATATATACACACATGTATCATACATATATACACAAGTATGATACATATATACACATGTATTATACATATTTCTCCCACACCTGACAGATTTATCTGCCGTTTTGCCGATGCTAGATTTATCTGTCTCCGCCCTAGGGTTGAGAAGGGGGGGGGATTCCCCTATTCATAACAATGGCATGACGTCACTTCAACAATACAATGACGTCACGTCATCAATACATCAACAAATTGCCTGTATGTGTTTTGGGTACATGTTTACCTTTATTTCACATTAAAATACTGTTAGATATGAGAGAAAAATAATCAATCGCTACTGGTTGTGTAAGATAGAGAAATCTCAACACTCGGACTAAGATTTTTTGTCCAGAACTCAGCAAGCCTCGTTCTGGACAAAAAACTCTTAGTCCTCGGGTTGAGATTTCTCTATCTTACACAACCACTCGCGATAGATTCTATTAATACACATGTATAGTACATATATACACATGTAGTATTGATGTCGTTCTGTTAGATCCAACAACGTACTATATCGTAATTTTATGATTTTATGATAAAGGATTTAACTTATTTTCGTTTTGAATAAAATTTTCGATGTCATTTATGTAAATAAAACAGACAAAGCCTAGTTGAAATACTTACCTTTAGACAACCTGAGAACATCGGAGGTCTCCGCTCGTTTAACATGAGCCTCGGACGCTGATTGGACCGTCTCTCTTTTGATCCTGTGACATGATTGGTCACAGGCGGACGAATAGTCAGTTACGTTACAAAATTTAGCCGTGCAGAACAAGTACAGATTATCCTGATCGACGGAGTACTCAAAGTCGCGGAAGACGAACCTAGTCTCGTGAGAGGACCGGTATATGATATGGGCGCTGACGTCACTGGTACATCTATTAAAGGGAAGCATTTGAAAGAAAGTCAGCATTTTGGATTCGTACATGTTTACATTTTAAATATATTGTTATTTCAGATATTGTTATTTCCAATAATAAAAAAATATATTGGAATCTATTTCACTTTAAAGCGTTAAGCTCCCTTTAAAGAGAGTTCCACATTAAACACCCCCTTCCAAATGAATGCAAACAGCTACAAACTTTCCCTGTAGTATGTCGGGTATAGAGTAACCCCACCTAACACTCGATCGAGGTATAACGGAAGTGAGGATCGATAAAGCCCCTGACGCATATCAGGTAGCCCAGTTGATTGAAGCGACTGTTTTGTGAACGAAGGTCCAGGGTTCGAATCCATTTCTTATACACTCAGAACAATGTTTTTGATTTGTTTTGTTGTTTATTCCATCTTTATTACTTTATAAATTTCTCGAAAGTGTTTTTTTAATCTTTCATGTCTGTAAGTAAAATTCCAGCTCAATGATTTTGCTAATGGTATGTGGATTCTTAAGAAATGAAGTATTTTAACCGCGATTTTCGTAGAAATCGACGTTGGTATAGCAAAAACATTAATAAATTCAGTGGATTGGCTGGATGACGTACTCATTAACAAAGTACCTACTTGTGAAAAAACGGGAAATATGATTATCTTATTGTGTATTTAAATATTAAGTGTTTAAAAAACTTCACATCAGATTTCAGTAACAAAAGCAGACTGCATAACGATGACGTCATTTGATTGTTTTATTGTGAAATCACAGAAAGCGTGCAAAGTAACTTACTTAAGTATGACATCTTGCGTACGTAGAGATGAGAAAAAATTCGTTCAGCCGATCAGATCGCCGATGAACTGATAACTAACAATTGACTATTGATATAATGAACCAAAATTACCTACCCGTTTTTGATCAGGTACAGTTTGAGCTTGTCCCCGGCGCCCGGGGAGGGGAGCGTGTAACAGGTCTCGACGCTCATCTTGACGTCATAGTCTGAGAGGGGCGTGGTCACGCTGACGTAGATGTCCTCCCTGATGTGGACCGTCAGAGGATTACCGTAAATCTGCTGTTGATAGCCCGAGTCCCTGTCAGCAAATTATATACATAGAATTCAGTATTTGTAACAGCAGATATAAAGATTTTGATGAGAAGCAGTTAATAGATAAATAAATATACAACGTTTGATATAGCGTCCTATCTATCTAGAATAAGCCACTAAAGCGCTTCACAGTACATATTTGTAGATAAACAATTTTTTAAATCAATACAATAAACATATCCATTAAATAATACATTAATAAAAACAATTTTGTGGAATTTGAAGAAGCTGTATAATCAGGTGATAACTACTAGTCCTTCATTCGTTTTTTTTATGTTTTGTGTCATCGGGCATATAGCACAGAATCCAGATTATTGGACATCGTGTAACGGAGATAACTTCAACAAGAGTACCGCGGGGCGGAACAATATATGCCCGTCAAATGCCATATAGTGTTATTTAATTTCTTACATTGAAATAAGATCTGCATCATTCTAAGAGTGGTTAGCTGACATGCTATAAAAAATGTAGGAGAACATCTCCGGGGAAAAAAATAATCAAATACTGAAATGAACAAAGGTCAATAACTTTTGCAAAAATCGTCGAATCAAATTTTGTTTCAGGGAGACACAGCCTCATATCATGATTATTATGTATACAGAGTTTCAAAGAGATCCGTTGAAAAATGTAGGAGAAGATTGCCGGACAAACATCAAATACTGAAATAAAATCAAACGGCAATTACCTTTGCAAAAATAGTTGAATCAAAATTCTTTTCAAGAAAACACAACAACATATCATTATTATTTAGCCTACTAAGTTTCAAAGACATCCGTCATAAAATGTAGGAGGAGATTGCCGGACAAACAAAAGTATATATATACGCCGGACGGAGGGACGGACGACCCAATACCATAATTCTTCTGTAAAGTTTGACGGGCGTATACAAATCAGAGCTTTATGTGTAAGAAACAATACAGCCTTAATGTTTGAATTTTGTCTGTCATTCTTACCTGTAGAATGCCATACGGATGTTGTAATGGCCGGTATTGGAAATCTGAGGGTTACTACTGCGCATGCGCACCTGATTGTGCGTCTGTATGAAGTGTTGTGATACTGTCTCATGCGTGGCCATGTCACAGTGCACGTCAATCCTGAAGCGGTAGTCTCTGATGATGAACTTGTAGTTGGCGTCTCTGTACGCATACACAAGTGTGTTGGTATATTCTACTGTGTTGGTGGTCATCTGAAATATACGTCTCTTAGTTATAAGTCGGTCATATAGATGCGATCTTAAATGTTTCCAGAGAGGACTATATTTTGTCGTGTAGTTGCTGCGCACTCGTGATATATATTTATTATTACTGAAGACACTATTTGATATCCTCTTTCTTTTCCCCCACGCCCCCTTTTTTGGAAGAAGACCCTATAATATCACCACCTATTTCCCCATAACCCGTTCATTTTACAAGTAGACCCTGAAAAATCACCCCACTTTCACTGCCTTCCCTTCTTTTTACAAGTAGACCCTGATCCGTCCCGCCATATTTCAATAGAATATGTCACATAGCCACTTATAACATCGAATCCCGTCGTAACATACTGACCAGTTCACCTAACCCATTAACTACCGGAACTTTTACTTTTGGTGTAACATTATTAGAACAAAAATGTCTGCTCATGTGCTATCTGCACACACCATATAGTGTGAGTTGTCCCCCTTTGGAATCTACCTACATGTTTTATATAACAACTATTTAATTTAATTTCACTGCTGCTTGTGTTATTTAATTTAATGTACTTCAGTAATATACTTATTATATAATTGATATTTATTTTAGATTTGAGCTCCATTATTTAAAAGATCATTACTTTTTACAATATCATAATTATAGCTCTTGTTTCTATTTATGACTTCATTGTCTCTTTTTAATTCACACTATATTAGTGTATATCCTGTAAATTTTTACACTTTTCTACATTAGCATATATGTACATTACACTAGTATATAGTGTCTTAACTTGTGCGACATACAAGTGTGATATCATATGCTCTACTATATAATTTTAGCATATCTAATTTGAATTGTTGTCCTGATTTTATAGTTATTCATAAGTACTGTGATCCTTGTTCAATTTTATATATGTTTTGTCGCAAGAATAGCACTACAGTGCTAATGTTATTATGTTACATGTATATGCGACGTTAAATAAAGCTTCTTGAATCTTGAATCTTGAATCTTGAAGTATTTAACGTACCATTAGAAAGCCGATGATAAACCATATTAATGAAAAAGTCGCGTCTGCATCCGAACACAAACAAATATATCGTCCGCTTAATATAAACCCTATTCCGTATATCTACCCACGTTTAAAATAAACCCTATTCCGTATATCTACTCACGTTTAATATAAACCCTACACCGTTATGTACCCACGTTCAATATAAACCCTTTTCCGTATATCTACCAACTTTTAATATAAACCATATTCCGTATATCTACCAACGTTTAATATAAACCCTTTTCCGTATATCTACCAACGTTTAATAAAAACCCTATTCCCTATATCTACCCACTTTTAATATAAACCATATTCCGTATATCTACCCACGCTTATTATATACATCTAGCCAAGGAGTCCAGGTAGGAACAATGTCCCATTTTCAAATCTAAATACAATAGTTTCTTGATAATCTGTCTGAATTTTGTAAAATGATCGATATTTCAAACATGCACACGATAGAAGTAATAATATTTGGTAAGAAAGAGGAAAGAATCAATATTATTCAAATTAGGAATTTATCTGAAAGATGTGTGCCAAGTCGGGCCTTCTAAAGGCTACCATTGATAATGTTTTTCGTTTTTTGTTTTTGTTTACTTATACATACCTTGGGGTAATGCCGTCGTGATGGGACACGAAATTAAGGTGAGCTTGGAAATCATTCCGAGATATAAGGTATTAAGTGGGGGGACCAAACTACAAAACTACATGTTATTTTTTAAAACTTTCTCCACAATTGACCTACTTTAATGGTCACAAGGCTTCTTCTAAATAACCAAAATGTGTGGGGCTATTTTAGGTAAGTAGCTTTCTATGATAAATCTTGACAAAGGTTGAAGAATGACTTAATTTGATTAGGTTTTCGTTGCTATCATACTTACAAAGTGGTATGTGTCACAGTTGCTGTACTGTTGATCAATTCTCAGGTAGTTACCGTATCGGTAACCCTGGCAACCAGGCCGACCAAGATAAATATCGGATGGATCAAAGTCACTATGACGTTTGTAAAGATCGGGCAGATATATCATGATATTCCAAGCCCCAGGATCACACCCGACTGTTATGGAACTGACGTACATATCTGAAACAAATGTTTTGCAAACAATTCTCAAATGTTTAAACGTTAGGTGAATATGTAAAAAAAAAATCTGTAACTCTCTCTATCAATTTTGCGCATGCAAATCGTCAGATCATGAGCTGAATGGGATCATTATCGTTTTGACGCTTCTCCTGCCGCTTCGTATAACGTGAAATAATCTTAAGAAATACAGGATGCATAACCCAAACAGACATTCAGGAACATCAATACCAAAATTGTTACAGGATTAATGAATATTTGGGTTTTTTAGTTCATGGTTATTGACGTAAATTTGACACTTTCGTATTGGACAGGAAGCCCTAGTGTCATTATAATTTACCGCGACTAAATCCCTCGGATAACAAAACACTAAGATACCACGATGAAAACGTGGACAAAACCCTATATTGTATGAATGATTAATAACCTATGATATGTACGAACGTATCATATTTGCAAGAGGTTAAGTTACCGTAATAAAAGCACTTATCTAACGTCTGTTTAACTATTTACCGCTTTTATAGTAAGCCAATCAGGATACTCCTTTCATCAAAATTTGAGCTTGTCAAAATGTCCCTCTTATAACAATAAACCAATCAGGATACTCCTTATATAACAATAAACCAATCAGGATACTCCTTATATAACAATTAGTCTTTTACATTTCTCCATAAAATCAACCAAGTACGTTACCCCTAGTACAACACAAAGTTAATCATAGTTCTCCTAAAGAAACAGAAAAGCCATTCATTCACGAATCTATTCTGAATGTTCTGGTTTGAAACTTACCCGAGGAGTAGTGCGGTGCCGCAGAATTCATAGCAGCTGTTGCTGAGAATGACATTAAACAATATTTGAGATACATTTATAAATGTTCATGCATGTTAAGCTCTCCAGACAAAAGGAATTTAAGTATATGAGTATGACTTTAGAAACTGAACTTTTCTTAACAAATATAAGCGAAGACATCATAGGATAATTTCAATTACGTACCTGTATTATACTCGGTGGTATATTCTGGTAAATAAAGTGAAAGAAATGCTGGTCAGTAAAAGAATGGCACGTACGAAAACAGAAGAGAATGTATGAACACTAGTAAATGTTTAGAGGAATGAAATGATAACAAGAATGAAACAATTCTGTAAAAGCTAAGTAAATAGAAAATGATAACAACGATAAATTGACAAACGCAACGTCAAATTAGACAAAAGACACAAGGTTAAGAAATAGGGTGAAGAGTATCTACAACAGGAATAATACATATGCTAGTACAATGTATGCAAATTGGGAAAATAACAACATCAAAAGATAATATCTACAAAAACAATACTGATATCTAAAAAGGGGAGCAATATTTGTATATATAACGAGAATAATATCCTCAAATCTTTATGATCAACATCTGCGAAAGAAGGAAAAAAAATAAAACCTAATAAAAGCAAAAAGGGGTGCCATTGTATATAAATATCATATCATATAAAAAGGTTAAGAACTAGTAAAAACTGGAAGTAACTTAACGCAGAGGAGAATATAAAAGTACTATGGGGAATACTACTACTAATGATAGATGAGAATTCACGCAGAGGTATACCTACAACAAGACTTGTAACACAAAGGGAGAGTGTAACATTAAAAAAGCGCAAAAACGTACAATATGTCACATCATTTACAAACGATAGCATAATAGTTGAAAGTTACTCTCAAACCGAAGACAACACAATTCATAACAACGCCATGTACATAGGCAATTCACGTAGATACAAAGGGAGATAACACATATAAAAGGAGAGGATTTAAAACACAAAGGGAGATAACTCATGTTAATCATTTTATATGATATCGCCAAGGATACATGGAAAAAGAGAACGTGACATAACCCAAAAGAATACAAAGAAAAAGCATGTGCAAACAAAAATTATAAACACATTCAAAGGGAGATAATCAAGTATAATTATAGACAGACGAGGAATAAAAAGAAACTAGTACATCTCATAAAAAGGGAGATAACCTATGTTAATACAGACCACATATATAAATGACAAACAACTTCAAAGAAGGTAACCTATAACTTAGACCACCTATACAAAATAAAATGTTTAACGGGTTCAACACCTACAAAAGGGGATAACATATGATAGAATATAATCCAGGAAATTATGTGCTGCAAAAGAGGATTATGAGACATTGCATAAAAACAATTAAAGGTTTAAGAACACCTACCGTAATGGTTTGAAAATTGACATTCAATAAACACGTCTTCATGGTGAGAACAGTCGTTATCCCCCCAGTGATTGGCGCTGCACGTGATTCCATAATACAAAGTATCCCTACATTGCAACTGGTCCAACCATATTTGGTATGGAGGCGAGATAGTGCTTTGTCCGCTGGATTGTTGGTTATAAAACCTTTGGTAGCTGTAATAAGGTCAATCGTTAGATCAATTAACATACCACTGCACTCAGTTAGTGGTATACCATGCGAGTTATCTTGCAATAAGACTAAAACAATCGGTAAAAAATGTAAAGGTAAAGGTTTTTTGTTTTATTGTTGTCGTATAACATTCCCGATATTATCAATTGTTTTATGATTGTTTAACAAGTTGTGACCATTACGGGCATTGCTCGCCATTGAAGCTTTAACACAAAAACTGATTAATGGGCCTCTCATTATGTTCAATTTAAGACCTGCTGAATGCCATATCTGTTTATCAACGGATTACAAGAAATATAAGCTCATCAAGAACTGAATTTCTTTAGGTAGTCAAGGCACCAATGATATGAGTGTACACTTCATGCCCAGCGATTTTGTATATTCTTATGGGATGAATTATCAACTGTTCCCATGTTATGAGCCAGTTAGTAAGTCCTGTTGGATGAGGCCCAACCTAGGATATAACCTTGTAGCAAGTTTGTATAAATTTCTCTCCTTAATTAGCATTTGCTTTCATGCCTATAGGGTGATCCAGACTGTCTTGGCCCCTTATGCCTGACATTTGTATATAAAGTTAAAAGATGAATATATCAAATATTTCATGATATAACTCGAGGAGAAAGTACAAAGGTGAGGCAGACCTCAGAGCCAGCGTAAATGTCTCACCTCTTCATGCAATTGTGTATTTGGTTAGAGGGTGGAAACCGTAACTGTCTCCAAGTTATGACCTTAATCCCCTATCAAAACCCACCTCGCAGATGGGAACAAACCCAAGGGCAAACTCTGATAGCATTATATCGAGTACCGGTATGTATGGTTATAGGGTTTGGATCTTTACCATTTCCAACAAACAATAAAACTTATGCTCCTATTTGCTCCCGCCCCTGTCAGCATGGCATCACACATCCTATACAAAGTCCCCTACGCCCAAGGGATGCTCTAAACTAAATTTTGTTAACATACGCGTACATAAACTGTTACGGAAGAAGAATGAGTTAAAGATTGACCTTTAATTTCCCTATTTCGGGGTGGGTGGGGGCGAGGGGGAGGGCCAGGGTTGGTTGGTTATTTGTTTGGTTGTAAGAACCATACCGTCCTTTTATACAAAGTTTAAGCCCCTATGCCCAGGGATGCTCCAAACAAAATATAATCAACATCTTTTGAGCCGTTCAGGACTAGTAGCGTTTTTAAAGAAAAAAGGTTTAAAGACGACGGGGTACCCTCCACGGACTCATTTCACATAAACAGTGTGTTGCTAAGAACCTATTAATAAATGAAATCTCGTATCTTTAGACCTAAGGATGTGTATACATACGACGGCCACTCTCCGTAAATGCTTTTACAAATGATACGAGTTGTCTCCGGAGTAAAGCCGTCATCACAAACGGTGCCCCATCTGCCGTTGTGGTGTACCTCAAGCCGATTTCCATCCAGTCGAAAAGAGGTTCCTTTGTCTGGTTGAAAAACAAAAAAATGGAAAAAAAAAACTCAACACCAAAATCATGTTATGAATAACTATGATCCATGATCATGGTGATTATCATTTTCTGAACAACAATTTGTTGTTTAGTTGTGTATTCTTCACATACTGTATGCTGGGCATTTTTTAGACTCTGGTTACACATGTACCTGACATGTAAATATACCATGTGCTAGCGGGCTGTAGAATGATGTCTAAAGTGTACATGGTTGATAGTAAGTAATTAATTTTATAAATGAAAAATGCAATAAACTATCAATTTTGATATATTTTTTAAAATTTATTTCTATAAGTTTTGACATGTAAAGTAATTAAATTATAAAGCCATTGCGTTTATTTTGTTCACTTTTCCCACTTTTTTGCATGTATCTCTGTGTCCTGTTTGCTTTTAGCTTGTTAATACTCACTTGAATCCATACAATTTAAACTAACGAAAACTCATCCGCGGTCTGTCGGAATGCTTAGATTTTCATAATATTACACCATCATAGTTGCATAACCATTATGTGAAAGTGTAAGCGAATTCCGCTGGTTAATTGCGATTGGGTTGAACCTTCTTTCACAATATGTTTAAAGTTGATAAGCTGTAGATTGAAAATCAACACGAAGCATTTCTGTAATATACTTCAACCAGTTCTATAGATACCTACTTCGCCGAGATTTACAATACACACGTCGACTTTAATTAAATCCATGAAATTACTTACCAATTGTAATTGCTCCCCCCGGAGACGAATCGTAGGCGACCGTTGTCATCTCTGAAAAGGGATACGAAACAACAACAAAAAATAAAGAAAATGATAATATTATTAAAGAAAAGGGCAACGTGCATGATGAAGAGCACGTCATGTTAAACATAATAACAGCTTTAATAATCGTTTATCTAAAACACAACAATAGCTGTGTGACCTTTGACTCAATTTTCGTGATATTGTCATAAGGCGTTGTATTTTGAAACTTTGGACAGATTGTGAAATATCTTTGAATACATATATTCAAACATAACTGTATGTAACATGAATGTTATTTAAACTATATAATTTGGTAACACAGAATGCTAGAAAAAGGAATTACAGTGCATCATACACCTGTTTCGTCCTTGCAAGCCTCTTCGGTGGTTCTAGGGGTCACATTGCTCTTAACTAATTTTGAATCAAAAATGGAGTTGCATAAATAACAGAAATATATAGAGAAATAACACCGACAAAGGAAGATAACACATGTTAACTACCATGGAAGTACATACAGAATTATTAAGAGAATAAACACTGACCAAGGGAGATAACACATTTAACATACCATGGGAATACAAACAGAAATATATATAGAGAGACAACACGAACACACGGAGATAGCACATGTAGAATGCCATGAAAATACATACAGAATTATAGAGGGTGACAACACTAATAAAGGGAGATTACACATTTAGATACCATGGCATTACATACAGAAAGATAAAGAGATATACCATATGATAATACAGACAACAATCACAACACCCAGAAACGTACGTAGGGTGAGGGTCCCCAAAATGGAACACTTTTTCAAGAAAAAATAATTAAATTTCCTATAAAGTTTTGACAATCCAAATTTTTTTCTGACATGAAACAAAACATGCCTGTAGATTTCATTTTATGTATTTCTTGGGTATCAACAGCGTGAGTCTATTTATAGAGCTCATTAAAGTGATTCAAATAAAAAATGCTGCATCATATATGTCAAAGGTTTTCCATTTTGGGTACCGTTCCATTTTGGGTACCCTCGCCCTACCGACAAAAAGGAATATGAAACATTGCTTGATAACAAATAAAGGGATATAACCTTTGCTAATATAGACCATATATATATATGACAAACAACTTCAAAAGAGGTAACCTATAACATTAAAGACCACCTATAAAACAAAAGTTTAACGGGTTTAACACCTACAAAAGGAGATGACAAATGATAATACAGACCGTCAAGGAAAATATGTGCTGCCAAAGAGGATTATGAGAAATTGGATGATAACAAATACCGGGTAAACACCTACCGTAATGGTCTGCAAATTGACATTCAATAAACACGTCTTCGTCGTGTGAACAGTCGTTTACTCCCCAGTTATTGGCGCTGCACATGATTCCATAATACAAAGTATCCCTACATTGCAACTGGTCCAACCATATTTG